TTGGCCACCTCAGGGCCAAACTAGACATGTTTATTTTTAGAACTGGGTCCCAGTTCCCCATATCCAACTTGGGTTGCAGCTGTGGGGAATAGCTTTTTTAAAAATAAAGGAGAGGCTGTTAGTGCTTGGAACACTGTAAGTCATTTTCCTGTGTTGAAACAGTGTGTATGTGTGGGGGGGGGAGTTATTTCCTCATTTTTGCTACACAGTGTAGGAACCCAGACCCACCTCTTTAAAAATAGACACATTGACCCTCACCAAATAATGGCTTAGATTCTACCAGTATGTGTGTGTGTGGGGGGGTATGCGAAGAATGTGAAAGAGAAGCATAAACTCTTGTGTGGGTCTGAGTAAATCAAAACTTTCCTGGCTATTCTCTCCATAGTGCCACAGTTACACCTGGATACATCAAGCCTTGCTGCTAACCGTGAGGAGGAGGAGGAGGAGAAGAGTTGGATTTATACCCCACCCTTCTCTTGGAGTCTCAGAGCAGCTTACAATCGCCTTCCCTTCCTCTCCCCACAACAGACACCCTGTGAAATAGGTGGGGCTGAGAGAGCTCTGAGAGAACTATGACTGACCCAAGGTCACCCAGCTGGCTGCATGTGAAGGAGTGAGGAATCAAACCCGGTTCTCCACATTAGAATCCGTCACTCTTAACCACTATATCAAACTGGCTCTCTCTGACTGGAGGCGCTGCTAACATGTCCAGCAAGCAAAGATACCATTTTAACAGCCATGATCACTTGTGAGCTCTGAATCCAATCTCATTGCTTTGCAGATTTCAGGCAGATACTGAACAGCATTGTGGAGTTTCAGCGCACCTGCCTTGTATCCTGCCTTCACAACTGTACAGTTGGTGAAATGTGCAATACTCCAGGGTCATGAATGGTCAGTTCCAGACAGTAAATGACAGTGGAAGTGGGATGGGGTGAAAAGCTATAGCTTCCATAAGGCTGTGCAAAAACATGGACTTTGATCAACATCAAACAAAACACACACACACAGTGTTTAATTATGACCACTGACTGACTTACTGGTTTACTCTCTATTTAATCATTTGGCTCCTGACAGCATGCAGCAATGACAGATCTGCGTATGGATGTGTATATGAGGGGAAGGGGAACTAGGGCTGCCATTGTGAGAATGCACATGAATAAATGCTGCTGGTTGCACCATAGTGTGTTGTACAGTTTGAATACATGAGAAGTAACCCATCAAACAGGCTTGAGCTGTTAACTCATTCAAGTTTTGTTCCTGCATGAAAAGACTACCATGCGGGGGGAGGGGGAGAGTCTAGGGCCCACATCTTCTGTGATGCCTTAGAAAGCCCTGGGGGCATGATTTAGCCCCCTACTTCACTTCAAGTGTCCTCATTGATCCCTTGCCAGGATCTCTCCCCTCTGTCACTCTGTTCCTGGCTAAGGAGGGCAGTCCGATCTCCTGCTCCACATTGCTTTGTTTACTTTGCCCAGATCCACCCATGTTATGGCTCCAGGTAGGCTCACTCTTTAGCCAGCTGGCTGCTTGCCTGCTCCTCTCAGTGCACTCAGTTTTGTCTGATACTCCCTCCTGTCGATCAGAGTCTCCTGCCACACCCCAAGAAACCTAGCTGCACTGCAGTTTATGTTCAGTGGCTGACTGAGAGAAGTGCCTCACCAACTGTGTCAAAAGTTCCCTTCCCACAACAAAGAGTGGCAAAGTGAGCAATGCACATTTTTGAACTCCAGGAAGTGCGTGAGCCAAAGAGGCTTGCGGGGAGTCAAATTGAAAAAGGGCATCAGGAAGCACAAGAAGGAGGACTGGGTTCTTCTCTCTCTTTGGGCTGGAGGTCCTGCTGGGGAAGGGAACTCAAGAGCTTCTGCTCTGAATACTCAGGCCTTGCTGGACTCTTTGCTTTGTGAAAAATCCAGAATAAAATTAATTTTATTTTTATTTTATTGGATTTTTATCCCGCCCTCCCTGCATAGCGGGGTCAGGGTGGGTTCGATCAAATATAATATACAAACAAAAACAGTTAAAATACATCAAATAAAATGCACTAACAATTCTCTTATATCTAATCAAAGCCTCAACAGATGTGGTCTATCACAAATTGGGGTTCCAGATGTTATACAGATCTGGTCCACTGAAGGGGAGGCCAGACGGACATGCCTGGGGCTGGGGACCACCAGGAGATGCTGATTAGCAGATCGTAAGACCCTTCGGGGCTCATAAGGGAGGAAGCAATGAATAGTCCTGAGAATTCCATTCTGGAATGAATAGGTTCCAGCCCGGAATGAGATGACGCTTCTACAAATGTTATTTTGCCCCAGTGAGTAAAGAGACGGGTGAAGAAGTTTCATTGGCCAAGGAGAATTTGATTCATGAAAAGAATGATCCGCTGTGCATCAGAGCTGTTCTCTGCCACCTACCATATATCTCTGTTGATACCTTCTTCTGGGACAAGGCTGAAATGGGTTCCAGGTTCCATATCTGCAGTTACTATGCTCCAAAGCAGAGTGTCCCAAGGAATCCCATTGAATTGTATTGCTAAGTAGCTAAATAATAAGGTTCTCAGGTTGCTGTACCCCAAACTAAGTTTTGGATCACCCTAATATATACATCTCTGGAACCAGGAAATGGTGCCCCAAAAGGTTCCATACTGTGATGCCCAGTCCAAAGCCTAGCTTCTACAGAAGCATTCCAAAGTAAAGTGCCTTAGGGAATCCCATTGGATTGCATTGCTAAATTTTGGACAAACTCATATACCCATAGAACAAAGTTTGAGTTCAGTGGCACCTTTAAGACCGACAAAGTCTTAAAGGTGCCACTGGAAGTATTATTTGGGGTGGTCTAGCACTTAGTTTGGGATGCAGAGATTTTTAAATATCATTAATATTTGCAATTGGGATGGAGAATAAGAAAGCAAGAATGGCAAATACGGAACCAGGATCCAACTTCAGCCTCATTTGCCATGGGAGACTATAATGGGTAAGCACAGTTTTGGAAAGTGTTTGTTTTTCTGGGCCCCACTTCTCACAAACATAGTGGGGGGGAAAGGGGGGGGGTTATTATTGCCACAGATTTTGATTTATTTGTTTTGATAACAGTAATCAAACCAAAATGGACACAAGAACAGAGTTCTCTCTTTTCAGCACAGTTAAGCAGGAATAGGAGATTGTTGGAATTGGTAGTTTGTAGTGTGAATTGGAGATGTCATAAGGTTCCCAAACTCTGTCCAGATTTTTTTACATAAGCCTCATGAACATGGCTCACAAGGACCCCAGGATTATTTGAATAATTTGTACAGTAGCTTGTAGGAAGCTGGAGATATGACTTATTAAGTGGGAGGGGCTAAAATTAAGGGGCATCCAGGACGGAAATTGCAGGTTTCATTTCAAAAGCTTTTCTACCCAAGTTTAAGCAATACTATGTTCTGGTTTCTGGCTTCCAGCTCTGTTGGTCTTCTGCTCTGTTGGTCTCCTTGAGGGCCTACAGATTATCACTTGGTAGGGTCTGGAGTTGATCTAGCACCCAACAGTTGCAACCATGTGAACTAGTTCCTTTCCCTCCATTTAAATAGGCTGAGAAAAAGGAACACCAGCTGTTCAGGAGGGAGTTCCTGGAACTCTCCTGGTGAGATCTTCTTAATTAGGCCAGAATCCTGCAGAGAACTAGGCCTAGTCTGGTTCCAGAGCTGGTGCATGGGCTGCTAACTTGGGAAAGTTCCTCATCTCAGCTACCTCAGCATGAGCCACTGCCTCATCTGCTTCTGCTGGGCTTGTGGGCTGGGTCCTGAGCTGGCATATTTGCCCAAGGAGCAGGGGTGTGTGTGTGGGGGAGACAGAGGGGAGTCCTGGTGGAGGACCCTCTCCTGCAGTCTGCTCAGGGGCAACCTCTGGAACAGATGGGGCAGAATCACCTACTGCGGAACAAATGGGGCAGAATCATCTACCATATAGGGGTCTCCCTGAGCTTCCTGCTCTCCCCCCAGCCATGATTCTAGCTCCCCAGGCTCCTCCTCTGGGGCTTCTGAGTCAGAGTTCAGACCCAGCTCAGTGGGGGGTCATGCAGATTGCCTCCACGGTCATCTTATAGTCCAATGGTGAATGGAGCCTGTTTGAACTTTTATTTTAGGCATGGGTGGGAAATATTTTACATTGAAGGAAAGAACTTGGTTTGACAGGATGACTGTTGAACTAGTTTTGCAAGTCCTGTGAGTACTTTGTGATTTAAAAAAAATGTTTTATCACTTCATGGCCCTCCCTAATACAAATTAAAAACAGGTGTGACTGATGAATACACCTGCAATATTTAGACAATTCAGATGTGACAAAACTAATAAACTTGGTGGCAAAGTTTACAGTACCCTAGGGAATTTTCCTGCACAAGCGACTTTGAAATGAATACTTCAAAACTGCCTTTATGATATTTGATTCATATTCATATATTATCACCCAGGAGGTAATGATTAAGTGTTGTTTCTTTTATTGGGTGAACATTGCCCTATGCTTTCTTGACACGGGGGGCGGGGAGAAATTGCCTGGTTTTCAATGTCTCTACATGCATTACATTCTATTATGGCTGCCAACGGCAGGTCAAGAAATTCCTGGAAATTTGTGGGCAGTGCCTAAGGAAGGGCAGAATTTGGGGAAGGAGCGCAGTGGGAGATGTGGTGCCATCAAATCCACCCTCCACAGCAGCCATTTTCTCCAGGGGAACTGATCTCTAGTCCAGGGACCAGTTGTAATTTTGAGAGATCCCCAGGCCCCACCTGGAGATTGGCAGCTCTCTGTGTGGTCTATGACGTTTAATATACAGTCCACCCAGTAATGTAGAATGTGGTGCCTCTCCCACTTCTGCAGTTTCATTCCCATTACCCTGGGACACACCTCCATTTATCTGTAGCCACTCTTGTGACATTTTCCTTTTAGGCGATTTCTAATTGAGGTTGCTAAACTGACAGAGTGAACCACCCCTCTCCCTGTTTTAACTTGTACTCGGATGTGAGAGCCTTCTAGTAAACCAGCTCTTCAAGTAGCTTGGTCTCTCTGGCTGGGCCTCTGGAAGCAGTCACCATCGGTGCTCAGAGTGCCTGGGTAAGAAAGCCCTTTCAAGCAAACATAGGGAATGCTTTGGAAAAGATACCATATTTCAGCGTGTTTGCTATTCAGAGTGCTTAGGTAAAAGGGCTTTGCTAATTACGTTTTAATCAGCTTTAAAGGCAGTGAAGGGCAATACAAAGTCAAGTGCCTGCCAGTTCAGCAAGAAGCAAAGGAACTGAATCCAAAGAAAGATCATGGGAATTCTCTATTCAGAGGTATGTAGCCATTTCCTTGACCACACACACAGACACACACACAGAGGAGTGGATGTTTTGCACAAAAATCCTGTTGAAAAGGGTTTTCTAAATATTTTTAAAGGAACTGAATCCAAAGAAAGATCATGGGAATTCTCTATTCAGAGGTATGTAGCCATTTCCTTGACCACACACACAGACACACACACAGAGGAGTGGATGTTTTGCACAAAAATCCTGTTGAAAAGGGTTTTCTAAATATTTTTAAACACCATACTAAAATATTAAAGGACTAGAGCTGTGAGTGAGGCTGTAACTCTTATCTAAGCATATTTACTAAGGAGTTACTTGTGCAACAAGAATGACTCCTGAGTAAACATGCTCGGGCTGTTCATGTAATTCTCAAGCATTTTTCACGTTGAATGAGGTGAGAGGTGGTGGTGGGGATATTTGACCTCTTGCTTTAGCTTCTGTTACCTAGGATAATTGAGTTGCATTTTTGCTCCCACAAGCCTCAGTCTACATGTGTGTATTAATGAGAGAGACAAGGGGCCAGAAATGTAGGGATGCCAGCCTCCAGGTGGGACGTGGGTATCCCCTGGAATTACAGGCCATCTCCAGACTACACAGATCAGGTCCACTGGAGAAAATGGAAGTTTTGGAGGGGAGACTCCAAGGTATCATACCCCACTGAGATCCTTCTCCTCCCCAGGATCCATCCCCAAATCTCCACTTGTTTCCTAACCTTAATGTGGCAACCTTACCTCCCCATCCTCCGCTGGTGGCCAGGGGGACCTGCCAATCCTACCAGAAGGGGATTTCTTTTTGTCCCTGGTTCTCCTCAGCCACCAATTCTCTCATAAGCCCAGTTCTTGGAAGTTGGAATTTTGTCTGTAAAACACACTATTGGTGCCATAAGACTCATGTTTGTTTCATCAAATGCTTGCCATTATTAAAATAAGCTTTTTTAGTAAATAATATGTTTAAAATCATTTGACTGTGTGTGTGTGTGTGTATATATATACACACACACACTTCGTTATACAAATATAAAAATTACAGTCCAAGTACACAGTATGGTTTGTTAGTATTTGTATTTCAGGATGTCGCTATGTCATACTTAAAAAATAAACACTTCGGTTTATATTTAAAAGATCATTAATTAAAGTGTATGTCTTGGGGAAAAAAAATCAAATGCTTGTTGAAGGTGAACAGGGAAGAGGTCATTCTGGTGTATCCACACACACACCTCTGAAGCAATGAAATATTCTGGTTAGACGGCATTCCAAGATCATTAATTAAAGTGTAGGTCTTGGGGGAAAAAAATCAAATGCTTGTTGAAGGTGAACAGGGAAGAGGTCCTTCTGGTGTATCCACACACACACC